GCACCTCCCCAAACCCCACCCCATCCCCAAATATAATCCATCCTGCAACCCTCATTCCGTACTCCTATGATAAACATAATGCCCTAAAATATACTTTTAAGCTATTCTTTCCCCCATAGACTTCAATGCAGTAAACATAATTCATCCAGTTATTCTCAGTCTTACCCCCACCCCGTATCAGCCTCATTCTACAACAGTGGCACCATATAGCATTTGTCCCTTTGTGACTGAGAAACCTCACTCAAGCATCATGTCCTCCAGGGTCACCCATTTTGAATAATAGTGCATGAGTTCCTTGTTTTTCAATGCAGCATAGTATTCCATTGTGCGAATATACCACAGCTTCTCTACCCATTCGTTTGTTGAAGGCACTTAGGTTGTTTCCAACTCCTTGCTATTGTAAACAAAGCCGCAATAAACATGGGAATGCATATATCTACTTGGATGTCATTTATGGTCTCTTTAGGGTATATTCCCAGTAGTGGAATTGCTGGATCAAATGGTATCTCTATTTGCGACTTTTTGAGAAAGCGCCACATCGCTTTCCACAGTGGTTGCACCATTTTACACTCCCACCAACAGAGAATAAGGGTTCCAGTTTCTCCACAACCTCGCCAGCATTTGTTGGTTGCTGTTCTGTTAAATATTGCTAGTCTTACTGGGGTGAGATGGTATCTCATAGTTGCCTTTTATTTTATTATTTTTGTGTGCGTGTACCGTCAAATCAGATCTGACTGGTACAGGAGGAGATTGCCCCTCCTTCCCCAGCAGAGCATCTGGTGGATTCGAACCCTTTACCTCTGAGATTGTAGTTGCAGCTTCTTGCCACTAGGCCACCAGAGCTCCCCTTAAAAGCACAAATTTTAAGGAGGTTTATGTTCTCTGGGTCTTTGATCTTAGAACTTCCAACTGAGCTCTAGAATAGTTCACAGTTAAGAGAGGAAGCGTTCCAAGAGGGCAGAAGAGCGCCAACACCCACCAGATAAGTTTCCTCAAAGTAAGAACTAACACCTTCCCAAAGAACCTGCCTCCGAATCCAGAATACCTTCCAACCACTACTTCGGCAGCCCAAGCCTCTTCCCACCCCCGCTTCCGCTTCCGGGGAGGTGGCTCTGGCCCTGCGGGGTGGAGGGGCGGGAGCTAAAGAAGAACAGGAAGTGGCCTCGGCACTTCCGGTACGGGAAACTCGCTGCCACTCGGCTAGTCTTGACAGCCGCTGGATACTTGCATGTAGTTAGCTCTGTCTTTTCCTTCGCTTTCCTTCGTCTAACCTTGACGCTCATCTGCCGCTGCTGCTACCGCGACTCTCGACTCCCGAGACGCCCCTTACCCATGTTCCGGGGCGGGAGTCCTGAAAGCGAAGACCTAGCTGGTACCCAATCATGTCCGAACTGACTAAAGAGCTGATGGAGCTAGTGTGGGGCACCAAGAGCAGCCCTGGTCTCTCTGACACCATCTTTTGCCGCTGGACGCAAGGTATTCTGTCTGGGCTCTGAGTTCCAGCCGTCACTTCTTTTGCTCTGCAAAAGTGAGACTGCTGCCCAAGCCCCATCCTGTTCCTTGATCCCAATGCTGAGAGCTCTCTGTAACTGGACTTTCCAGAAAGCTGCTCTATCTGCTGAAAGGTGGAGAGGTTGACTAAGAGAGTACAGCTGACCCCTAAATACTCACCCATTCTAGACTACTCTGAGGCTGTGTCGGAAAAGAAGGGATGGCCCCTTGTTGGGCTGCAGTGCGTGACACTGAGGATGTGCTCGTGTCTGTTCCTATGAAGTGCTCTGGTGGCCTGGGTCTAGTCTTCCTTCAAGGTTTTATGTTGTTGCTTTTTATTAACGTTTTCGCCTGAGTTTGGATAGTGGGCACCCCACTGCAGAGTCAAGGTGGCTAATTCCTAAAGTAACTTGGTTGTTTGTATTTTAATTATGTGACTAGGCGTGGTACTCAGTACATTGTTTTACTTACTTCAAATTGTTTTCTGACAGAAAGTATCCCCTTTGAGGTGATGTAATATCTATTACAGTTTGAAAGAATCACAGCAATTCTTGTGCTGGTGTAATGTTACTAAGACAGGATTTTGAGTTATGCAGTGTCTTATTAATAATTAATAATGAAATAGAAACATTCAGATCCTGCATTTGGCTAGTCTCTGGGGGCACATTGTACTAGTAATTCGTTCTGATTTATAAGTTTTGCTGTTAAAACACAAGAGACATAATTTAAATTGATTTAATGAAGATTATGGTGAGGTTAGGTAAAGCTAACAGCATAGCCTTTGGAGTCAGAAGAATCAGTCAAGCATGTAGTATGTAAAACACTTTGGTAATGCAAATAATTAATACCTATTCGGTATTGTTATTTTGAAACCATTTAATTAAAACCTACCTGCTTGGGGAAATTTTGGTATAGTAAATCTTAATTCTAATTTCAAAGTAATTACGTTTTGCTGCCATTGCCCCTCCCTTTCTCCCATATATGTTTTTTGTTAAGAACCGGCAGAATTAGAAGCATGAAGTGTTACAGTCATTTGGGTTACTTGGTCCATCATCCTTGTATTGCAGATAATAAAAATGAAATGTGAAGGTTAAATGGGTCCAAGTTGTATGAATTCATAGGGCTACGTTTCCAATACGTCTAATAGAACTCAGCTCTCTTTTCATTATTTTCTTTGTTTGTTCTTTTTAAAAATACATACTATATTGCCTCAATTAACTAATGTGTCTCTGGACATCTGCCCTTATGGATTGCATTTTAAAGTTTTTGCCCTCCATTGAATGATGGTATAGAATACAATAGGATAGGGGGTCACTGAGTGGGCACTAACTTGAGGCACCTCACAACAACAACAACATCACTGCCATTGAGTTGATTTGAGTCCTAGTAACCTAAAGAACACAAGATAACTATTCCGTAGGGTGCCTAAGTCTGCAAATCTTTAGTGGTAGCAGATGCTGCAAAGCAGCAGTGGTTTTGAAACGTCTCCCTTCTGCCTGGTAACAATAGCTTTAATCACCAAGTAACTATGTGGAAAACTAAAAATTTAAGAATATTTTATGTCCGTTGTAATCAGTTAACATTTTTTAAATATTTTATTTGGCTAGGGAGAATAAGGTACATTTTAATCTGTGTTTATAAGAAGTAGAAGAATTGAAGGAGGCCGTTCTGATAATCATTTCAACATAAGCTTTGGAATAGGCTGACTTGGACTCCAATTTTAAGTTTAGCTTATTTGAGCCTTAATAACTTTTTATATAAAATGCAGATAAAATTACCAACTTTATAGGAGTTTTGTGAGAATTAAAGATCATGTGGGCACTGAGCATAATAATTTGACACACAGTATACTCAGTAAATTGTGTTCAGTGTGTTAAGCACCATGGAGTCAGAACCAACTCATAGCTTACCCTCCAGAAAGTTTTCAGAGGCAGTAAATCACGTAGGAGGATATGGCCCATCTTTCTCCCATCGAGAAGCTGATGGATTCAAACTGTGTGCCTTTGAATTTGCAGCACAAGTCCTTATAACTAAGCCACATTAATTTACAAAGTGCTTAATTGTATACTAAGCCAAAAAATCATCCTTATTCTTTGCCCTGAGACTAAGATATTATTGCATATTTTAGATAAGCCCTTCTTAAAGTTGTTGTTGTTATATGACATCGAGTTGCCTTCAACTCATAGCGACCTTATGTACAGAAGCCCTAAACCCTGCTCTATCCTGTGCCAGTTTTATTGTCTCTGACATTCCTACCCCCATGACCCTAGTCACTGAATCAATCCATCTTATCAAGGGTCTTCCTCTCTTGTGCTGTCCTTCTACTCTCCCAAGCATAACATCCCTCTCCAAGGACTAGTCCTGCCTTGCAACATGTCCAAAAGTATGTCAGACAAAGCTTCAGAATCCTTGCCTCCAAGTAGCAGCTTGGTCTCACCCTCTCTAGGACAAATCTGTTTGTTTTCATAACAGTTCATGGTATATTGAATATTCTTCAACACCACAGCTCAAAAGCATCAATCCTCCTTCTATCATCCCTAGTCATTGTCCTGCTTTCTGATGCATAGCAAGTAATTTCAAAGACCATGGCCTGGATCAAGCACACCTTAGTCTCCAAACTGATATTGTGAGGGTCAGCTATGAATTGGTTCCAACTTCTTAAAAGTAGAACTTTGAAAAACAAATCAATGATTGGTTTTTAAAAGATACTAAATGAACTAGATTTTTCAAAGAATATAGCTATACTGTGGATATGTAACTTCTCAAAGTTTGCCACTTAGCAAGATTTTAAGACAAATATATGTGTTTATCTGTGTGTATTTATAAAAGTTATTACTTGTTGGTCTTGCATTTTAACTGATTGCTACTGAAATCAATGACAGTCACTTGGAATTATGGTAATAGGTACAGGACACTGATTTACTGCACTTATGCTGCTGCATTAGTAAAGTGACATCAACTCTGGCGTTATTTCATAGTCTAACTGCCTTGAATTGGCAAGATATGCAAGATTGGCTACAATCTTATGGAAACAAGTTATAAGATATTTGGGGTAAATATTTATAAAATCGCATCTAGAAGTTTTCCATATATAAAGTTATATTGATGTTGTTGCTGTTAAGTGTTGTTGAGTTGTAGGCAACTCATAGCGACCCTATGAATGATTGCCCAAGATAAAATATTTTGAAATGGTTGTTAAGACCATAAGCCACAGAAGTTTTGTATTTTAAAAGTTGATTTGGAAGTTTTCTATAGCAGTCTTCTACAAAATCTTATCCTAAAAAAATGTAGATTTTGGTAGTTTTCTCTTTTGAAAGCGTTCTTCTAGCACTTTAAAGCTTTGGAGTTGTTTAATTTGCAAGTTGTTCTCTCCTACTCCCTCCTGCTCAAATGCCTATACATTACATGTTGTGCTGGTAACTGAAAGGTTGTAAATTGGAGCCCATTAATCTGTTTTCCTATAAAACCTTGGGAACCTCATGGAGGGTTGCCATGAATCAAAATTGGCTTAGTAGCAGTGCACTTGGAGGTTTTGTTGTGTACCACCAAGTTGGAACTGAGTCACAATAACTGACCCTCCAGTGGGTTTCCATAGGCAGTAAATTGCACATGAAGAAATTACCCAGTGTTCTCCTGTGGAACATTTGATGGATTCTGAACCGTGTGCCTTTCCAATTGCAGCTTCTTACCAAAAGGCCACCAGAACTTCCTAAGTGCTGCCTCTTCTCTCTCCCTCCTTTCCACAGATTAGAATAGTGTTCCAGGTCCTTGCAGTTCCAGGATAGAGTTGGCCCAGCTAAACGTTAGTCTAAGATGAGATTTTAAGTAAACACACAGAGTAAACTGGATTTACTCTGCCACATAGCTAAATAGATATTTGGGAAAGGAGTATTCAAGGAATTACAGTGGACCTGTTAAAAGAATAGCAAGGAGGTTAGTGTGATTGGAGGGACGAGTGAAGAAATGAGGCATTACTAAAAGATAACAAATAATATGACCTGAATTTTATAAGGCTTTATCAAACTTAAACTTAATGCCATTGAGTCAGATTCTACACATAACTGACCCTCCAGTTGGTTCCTGACTTTATAAATTGCAGATGGATAAGATTGCCCCCCACTATTTTTTCCCCTAGCAGAGCTACTGATGAGAATTGTCAGAGAACATTTTAAGTACTTCGGCATTTATGCTGTATGAAATTGGATGTGTGTTGGGGTTTTTCATTAGAAAGTTTAAGCAAAGGTATGACATGATCTGATATGTTTTTAAAAGATCATTCTTGCTACCATAGTTAAGGCTAGACTGTGGTAGATTAAGGAGCTTAGCAAGAAGATCAGAAAAAAGGCAGCTGCAGTAATGCAGGGAGAAAGGATGTTGCCTTGAATCAAGAGAGTAGTATTGGAGGGGTTAAAAAGTGGTCAGAGTAACTAACAGTAGATATCCATGAAGAATATCATGCATGGAAAGGTGGATCAATGAAGGAGCCTCAGCCAGATAGATTGACACAGTGACTGCTGTAATGGGCACAAGTATGTCAGAATTTATGAGGATGGCATAGGATAGGACAGGGTTCAAATCGTTTGTTCATAGGGTTGTTATGTATGTATGTTGTACTGGACACAACAACAAGTAGAACCAAAGGGCACTCCAGTGGTTTAGTCCATAGGAAGTTACACTGCTAACCCAAAAGCAAAAACCTCTCTGGCAATTCAAATCAATCACTGGCTCCAAGGTAGAAAAATGGCAGTTTTCCTCTCATGCAATTTTTAGCCTCTGAAAACTTGATGGAGGATCAGCTATAAGTCAATTCTTAATGGCCAAGAGTTTCAATAAAACAGAAGTAGTATTAATTTTATTTTAAAAATGAAACCTTTTGACTTGCTGAGAATTTCTTTTCTTTATAGTGATGATCTAGATAAGTGTCTAACAAGCTTTTTCTGCTAAGATTCATGACCTTGATGGTCTTACTTCAACTATTCTACCAT